TTTAGCCATTAACAACTGATGCTAATAATCAATTCATTTTCAATAATCATTAATGATTAGATAGCCATTATTAACCACAGCCCTTTAGCCCCCAGGACTAATGAATGACTTTCTATCCTGACCCGCTTGTTGAATTCAGCGATTTCCCAACCAGGGCTAATGCTGGGCCCCAGATCCACCCTCCACCCCCCCCAACAGCTCCCCAAAAAACTAATGCCGACAGCTTCCCCCACACCCCAATCTCCCCCAGCCCAGTATAAGCTGCTCGCTGCTGGTGGCCTCCTGCACTTCTCCACTGGCCTCCTCGTCTTTCCCTCCTTCCGTCGCTTTATTCTTCCCTCTTTTCTTCATTTCCTTCCATCTTTCTTTGATTCTTTTGGCTTTATGTCTTTTGTCATTCATTCCTCAGCTTTTTCCTCATCCATCCATCCATCCATCCTTCCCTTCTTTGTGTCTCCTTCATTCTTCCTTCTCCCGTCAGTTCCCATTTGTTCACTCTCTCTTTAATTCTTTCCTTCCTTCCTTCTTTTCTTTGCTTCTTCTGTTCGTCCGTTCATTCTTTCCTATATGTTTCCCTCACTCTTTTTCCTTCATTCATTCTTTCCTTCAGTCGTCTGCCACACTTTCGGGTGCAGTTTCTTTCCTTCATCCATTGGTTCTGTCCTTTATTTCTTTCCTTCATTCTTGCGTTTATTCTTTCACTCACACTTTCCTACATCCAAATCTTTCTTTCTTTCTTTCTTTCTTTCTTTCTTTCGAACCTGAAATCAAACACAGGCGAAAACCTGCAAAAGTTCCAGGACCGCTCCCACCAAGAGGGAGCTGAGAGACCTGTTAAACCCTTTGCTTAGCTCATCCCTCACCCGCTGGGTGCCTCTGTTGGCCACCTGTCACAGCCCATCCGATGCCTAGGTCCACTCGAATGACGGTGTCTAGGCAGCACCCGGCACGACAAGCGCTGATCTTAGCAACTCTGTCTGGGCAGCGTCTGGCGGAACTCAGCCCCGATCTCGGCGATTTTGTGTCTGGGAAGCACCCAGCCCGATGGGGCCCCGATCTCGGTGACTGTGTCTGGGAAGCACCCAGCCCGACGGGGCCCCGATCTCGGTGACTCTGTGTCTGGGCAGCGCCCGGCCCAACGGGGCCCCGATCTCAGTGACTCTGTGTCTGTGCAGCGCCCGGCCCAACGGGGCCCCGATCTCGGTGACTCTGTGTCTGGGCAGTGCCCAGTGCGACAGGGCCCCGATCTCAGTGTGTCTGTGTCTGGGCAGCGCCCGGCCTGACGGGGCCCCGATCTCGGTGACTCTGTGTCTGGGCAGCGCCCGGCCCAACGGGGCCCCGATCTCAGTGTGTCTGTGTCTGGGCAGCGCCCGGCCTGACGGGGCCCCGATCTCGGTGACTGTGTCTGGGCAGCTCATAATAATCGTTATCAGTGTGCAGCCAGCATGTCCCAAACTGAGAAACGATTGGGTGATGTTTGCGTTCAGAGTGGTCACTGGGATTTTAGGAGGAAGGTTCAGGGACATGAGGGTGAGTTTAGGGGGAAGGTTCGGGGGGAGGCTGAGAGCGAGTTTCAGTGGGCCAGGGGAGATAGGGTGCTTAGAAAGGGTCCCATCCTTCCCCCCTGCCCTCCCATGCTCCTGCGCCATGTCCCATTATTATTGTAGGTCCTACCCAATGACAGTATCCACTCCCTGGCAACCCAGGTGCTCCCGGACCTGGCCTGGCTGAGGCCTCTGATCCAGGGCCAGTAACCCCCAACCCAGAGGGGCTGGGTCTGGTGCTTGGGGTGGGATGGGCCCCGGGAGAGCGAAGACAGGGACCTCCCAGCCCTGCAGGAATGTTAACAATTAGAGCTGGCCTCAGCAATTAGCAATCAGGGAAATCAGAGCTGGGCACAGACTTATGGCTCCCAGCACGTCTGCCCCACCTGGGGGGCTTCTCAATAGCTCCCACTGCCCTCCCAGTGCAAAGGGAGAGAACCCAGGCATCCTGACTCCCCACCCCCACATCCTCGCTCTAACCATTGGCCCCCATTCCCACACTCCCCCGGGGTGATAAATAGCTGGAAGAAGCAGTGGGATGGGCCCGAGTGTAAAATCCCAGCTGCCATGAATCAAACAGAAGAGCCTGCCAGACATGAGAGGGGCTGTGCTGGGGGGCGTGGGGAGCTGGGACCAGCGCTGGAGGATGCTGGCAGCCGCAAGATCTTGAGATAGAGAGAGGATCGGGCAGGAGGATGTGCAGGGCACTGCTGCGGGGAAGCTCACAGCACTGGAGTCCCTGGCTGGGGCAGTGCTGTGGGGAAGCTCGCAGCTCAGAGAAGAGCGCTCTCGGTTGGGAGTGGTTCCTGGCAGTTTGTATATTTTCTTGCCCTGGAGGGGCGGGAGCTGAGTTGGGGGGTGGGGGGCCCAGATGGGGGCGAAGGTGTTTACTTAACATGGCGCGCAGGAACGCAGCGAAAATCAAGAATTTGCGACGACCTAATCCCAGACTTAGCACCCCTGAGTCATCGATCAGTGTCCAAGAGACACAGGGAGGCAGAGACAGGTGTCTGGCCGGGCTAACGCAGAATAAGAGAATTTCCTTCTGGTCACAATCAGGCACCCGTCGTGCCGAGACCTGCCCAGACACAGAGGCACTGAGATTGGGGCCCCGTCGCACCGGGCGCTGCCCAGACACAGAGGCACTGAGATTGGGGCCCCGTCGCACCGGGCGCTGCCCAGACACAGAGTCACTGAGATCGGGGCCCCGTCATGCCGGGCACAGATACAGAGTCACTGAGATCGAGGCCCCTTCGCACCGGGCGCAGACCCAGAGTTGCGAGATCGGAGCCCCGTCGCACCGGGCGCTGCCCAGACACAGAGTCACTGAGATCGGGGCCCCGTCGTGCCGGGTGCTGCCCAGACACAGAGTTGCCGAGATCGGGGCCCCGTTGGGCTGGGTGCTGCCCAGACAAAGAGTCACGAAGATCAGGGCCCCGTCAGAGTTTTACACGTGGACACAGAGGATCCAAGTGGGAAACAGAACCCAGGGGTCCTCACTATTTTATCCCTGCAAAATTGTGGCTGCATCAGAACCAGTTCTCTGTGTGGAGTGAAAGGCCCCATGCCCCATTCCCCACCCCTGAGCCAGCTGGTGCCCTGCCCTGGGGCCAGATCGCAGCCGGCACCCCCTAGAGGGGAAAGGCCCTGTGTCCCATCCCTGGTCTCCTGAGCCAGCTGTTCCCACTGGGGATCATTTGGGGCTCTCCGTGCGGTGGCTGGCTGGGTGGGTGTCCTTTACCCCTCCTATCTCAACCCAGAGACCTCCTTAATCCTGGATTGACTCCAGCTGCCAGCGGACCCTCTCTCAGATCCACCCCTTCCCCATCGGCACCCCCAGGGAAGAGGGAAGGGGGCTTGGGTGGGTTGGAGGGGGAGCGGGAATCAGGACAGAAACAAGCCGATGAGCCCTTAATAACCGTGAGAGTCTGGATTTAAAGGGCCTCTTCTCACAGCAGTCACGCACCCGGATTAGCGCCGAGCTGGGGCTGCCGGGGTGGGGCCCTGTTAACCTTTTCCAGGCTGGCCGCAGCCAGGACTGGGGCAGGTTGGAGCAAGCCTGGGGCATGCAGATGCCTAGATCCTAGGGGGACCAGTGGCCGGTCAGTTCCACCCGGTCCCTTACCCCTCCGGGACGCCTGGAGATTGGCGTGAGATCAAAGCGACCTCCTGGGCCAGGGGCCGAAAACGGGTGTGTCCCAGAGTGGCAGAGGCTGGTTCAGGTGAGACAGCCCCAAATTCCGGCTTCCCCAGGCGGGCGAAAGGACCAGTCAGGGGAGGAACAGCTGAGATGGGTGCGCAGGATTATCCCTGCTGAGGGGGGAAGGGGGATGTATCCCAGCTCAAGGGGGGCGTAAAGAGGTCAGGGATCAGCTGGGCTCCATGTGGGACAGAGACGGGCTACGATCTGTTCCCGGCAAGGGAGATCTAGGGTGGATATTAAGAGGGGGCTCACAGGGGCCGGAGCAGGGCACCGGCATTGGGCATGGGGCCCTATTATGATTGTAGGACCAGGTTGGACAAACCCTCGTTGGGGAGGGCTCAGTCACCACGGGTCTGGTTGAGCGCAGGTGGGGATGGACTGGCCGCGCTCCCCAGACCCCTGCCGGCCTGCCGCTGCAGTGAGCCCAGCTGTGTGACCCTTTCCCCCCCAACCCACAGAATTCCTAGCCAAGCTGAGCTGGGGGAGAAATTCATTCCTGCCCTGCTCACCCCAAATCTGCTGATCATTTAGACCCTGCATGTAACACCCCAAGCAGGAAGCTACAAAGATAATTCTCTGAGCACCAGTCCAAGCCCAGCTCTGGGAGAGGAGTGGGGGCTAATGGTTAGAACTGGGGGGCTGGGAGCCGGGACTCCTGGGTTTTATCCCTGGCTCTGGGAGGGGAGTGGAGTCTAGTGGTTATGGGGAGGGGCTGGGAGTCAGGACTCCTGGGTTCTATGGGAGGCCGCATGGTGGTGTATGTAACACACTGGCTACGTATGTTCTGTAGCCCTTTTGTGTCTGGTTTAGCTCGAGGGTAACAGCCTACTACAGCTGACTGGAGCTGGCAAATGGAGCTACTCCACTAGGTCATTGAGCATAAGCTCTGGCTTTGGTGTCCCAGAAGCAGCAGTCTGCCCTGGGTGGGGAAGGTGTTAGTTGGAGCAAGTGGGTCAGAGACGGTCCCCTGGGCCCCACCTGCTTCAGGGCAGAACACGTGGGGCACGACAGCGAAGGAGATCCAGCCTGCTGAGCGGTTAGCCTGTGGAACTCACCGCCACTGGATATGGCTGCGGCAGAGTCCTGCTGTGTGACAGCTGTTTCTGTGATCCACCACAGCTATCCCTAGAGTGGGGAAGGAATGAGAAGGCACCTGCTTTCTGGCAAGCGGGTGGGCCTGGGGCTGGCTCCTGCAGGCCGTCTTCTGCCCACCCTGCCCCTCACCCTCTCCTGTCTTTGTCTCTCCAGGTGATGCCGTCCCGGCACTGACCACCTGGCCATGCCTGGCGTCTGGCGGGGCCTGGGAGTGCTGCTCTCGCTCCAGCTGGCCCTGCTGGGCCTGACCTCCGACCCCTGCTACGATGCCGCCCGGCGGCCCCGCTACTGCCTCCCGGAGCCGGCCGACCTGGCCGCCGGGCGCCCCGTCCAGGCCTCCGCCACCTGCGGCCGCCCCCCACAGCGCCTGTGCGTCTTCCGCCACCCGGGCGATGCCTCGTCCCGCCGGTGCCGCCTCTGCGACGGGGCCGACCCTGCCGCCGCCCACCCCGCCGCCCACCTGACCGATGCGGGCGGCGAGGCCACCTGCTGGCAGTCGGGGCCAGTGGCCAACGCCAGCCTGACCCTGGCCCTGGGGGGCCGCTTCGAGCTGCTCTACGTGGCCCTCCGCTTCTGCTCCCCCCGCCCCCACTCCCTGGCCCTCTACAAATCCACAGACCACGGCCACTCCTGGACCCCTTTCCAGTTCTTCTCCGCCCGCTGCCCCCAGGCCTACGGGCTGCCCCCGGCCTCCGCCGTCAGCAAGGCCTTGGAACATGAGGCCATCTGCACCGCCGCCCAGACGGACCCCACGCCGCTGGTGGGGGGGCTGGTAGCCTTCATGCCCCTAGCCGGCCGCCCCTGGGCCCGGGCCTTCGAGTACAGCCCAGTGCTCCAGGACTGGGTGACGGCCACTGACCTGCGGGTGGCCTTGGATCGCAGGCACCGGGGGCTGGGGCTGCGGGGCCGGGAAGCCTCCTACGGGGTGTCGGAGCTGCAGGTCGGGGGCCGGTGCCGGTGCAACGGGCACGCTGCCCGGTGCGGGGCCACTGGGCCCAGCGGCGCCCCCCAGTGCCATTGCCGCCACAACACGGCCGGCCCTGAGTGCGAGACTTGCAGGGCCTTCTACTGCGACCGGCCCTGGCAGCGGGCCACGCCCAGCGAGGCTCACGAGTGCGTGGGTGAGTGACGGGGGGGGCGTGGCTGCCAAGGGCTGGGCACTTGGGCAGCTCAAGGGTCCTTCTCAGCACAGAGACCCCTAGCGGGGATGGCGGGTAGCACAGGCCGGGGCAGGGTCCCTCTGAGCCCAGAGACCCCACAGGCTGGGAGAGCCGGCAGGAGGCTGTGGCTCAGGACTGAGGGGCCCTGACAGAGCTTGCGGGGCGCCCAGGGCTGGGAGAGCAGTGTCGGAGGAGGCTGCGGGTCGGGACTGAGGGGCACCGAGCAAAGGATGGGCGGGGTTGGCTGGTGGTTGAGGCGCCCCCTGCTGGGTGTCCCTGGAATGACGACTCCCCCACCTCTGCCCCACTGTCTCCACAGCCTGCGAATGCAACTGCCACGCGCACCGGTGCCGCTTCAACATGGAGCTGTACAAGCTTTCGGGGCGCAAGAGCGGGGGCGTCTGCCTGAACTGCCGGCACCACACGGCTGGGCGGCACTGTCACTACTGCCAGCCGGGTTTCAAACGTGACCTGGGCCGGCCCATCACCAGCCGCAGGGCCTGCAAGGGTGAGCCACCCAGGGCACTGCTGTGGGGAAGCTTGCAGCATGTCCCCACCCCTTGTGAGGCCTGCTGCTGGGACAGATATTAACCCTGCCTGTCTCCTTCCCAGCCTGCCAGTGCCACCCCATCGGAGCAGTCGGCACCATGTGCAACCAGACCACAGGGCAGTGCCAGTGCAAGATGGGTGTCACCGGGCTCACCTGCAACCGCTGCGCCCAGGGCTTTCAGCAGAGCCGCACTGCCCACACCCCCTGCCTCCGTAAGTCGGCCCCTCAGGTTTACTGGCTGAGTATAATCCCACAGACAGAGCTCATGTAGGCTGCTCAATACGGTAACCAGGAAGGGCCCATATATTCTGCTCAATACGGTAACCAGGAAGGGCCCATATATTCTGCTCAATACGGTAACCAGGCTGGGCCCATATATTCTGCTCAACACGGTAACCAGGAAGGGCCCATATATTCTGCTCAACACGGTAACCAGTCAGTCCCTTTATACTCTCTTCAGTACAGAGTGACCAGACTGTCCTAATATTAGGGGCTTTGTCTCATATAGGCAACTGAAACACACACAGACACAAAGAAAGTGCCTCTGTTTGTCACACTTGCTATCTGGCCACCCTAGTTAGGTGCAGTAAACAAATTGGGACTTGTATTCTGTTCACTAAAGTAACCAGGAGGGGCTGCATATTCATTCAATATGGTAATTAGTCAGCGCCCGTATATTCTGTTCAATATGGTAACTAGGCAAGGCTTGGCCACCAGGTAGGTCCTGTATATTGTGTGCTGGATGGTAAGCAGTCTGGGCCCATATATTCCGTTCAGTTTGGTAATTGGGTTGGGCCCATATATACTGCTCAGTACGGTAGCCAGGCTGGGCCTGTGTATTCTATTGAATGTGGTAACGCAGAGCCTTTATTTTCTATTCAATACCGTAAGGAGGTGGAGTCCCTATATTCTGATCAATAAGGTAACCATTTGTAACATAGAAGCCCCGCCCACCAATTAATCCACGCATCAGATCCTGCTCAGGAAGCCCCGCCTCCTGGGAGTTTTGCAGGGCGGGGGCGGGAGAGAGATGCTAATTCAGGAAGTGAGGTCATATCTCTGGATCTGAGCTCTGGTTCAGGGCACTTCAGGAAGTCCTGCCTGTGTGGGAGGAGCTCAGTCAAGAAATGACCTCAGAGCTCTCCAGGGGTGTGGCGTGTGGTGTTATGCACTCCAGGAAGGCCCACCCCAAACTGAGCCTGGGCGGCGGGCATTGTTAATTCTGGAAGTGGCACCATGGATCTGGCACTGTGGCCTGGCGTTTGGCACTTTGGGAAGTCTAGCGCTCCAGGATGTCCCACCTCCGATGGTGGAAGGGGGAGAGAGAGAGAGAGAGAGTGTCATTCAGGAAGTGACATCATAACTCTAGAAGTGAGTCATCCATCCAGGAAGTGCAGATACTAATTCAGGAAGTGATATCATAGCTCATGACTTCAATCTGTCCTGGCAAACAGTCAAGAAACACACCTGGAACACGCTTAGTGGCAGCCTCTCTTGCATGTTCCATGAGCGAACCTTGCTCTCTACACGCATGAGACAGGGAGGGGGTGGCAGGATCATGCTTATTAAATCCACACATCTCTCTCTTTCTCCCTCTCTTCTTCCCTCCATCCTTCTCTCCCAGGCATTCAAGAAGTGATGACCACCACGGCTGCCTACCCCTTGGAGTGGAACACAGGTGCCTGGGGCAGGATGAGAGGGATCAAAGGTTGGGCATCGTAATCCCCACTCCCATTTCCCAGCCTCAGGATGGAGCAGTCACCCCCACCAGTGTCATTCCACCCAGTGCAAGGCTCTGTAGGGAGGATGACTGCCTACTACTGCTGCCAGCTAGGGAAAGCCGCACCTTTAGCGTGACTAACAGAGAGCCATGGCTTTGGGGGGAGGGTTCAAATCTTGCTGGTAAGACACGGTGGAGGCTGTGCTGCAATGCAGTGTGGGTCGCAGAGCCGGCGGGTTCATGGCATGAACCAACCCAATGTGCCTGCTCTGGTGGAGGGGAAGTTGGGAGGGTGCCGAGGAAGGGGGGCACCTAGCAGATGGGGATGGAAGCGGGGCAGGCAGGAGAGGTCAGAAGAAGGAAATGGGGGGAAGAGGACAATGGGAAGAGGAGGGGAATATTAGGAGGGGGCATATGGCTGATCACATTTGTTGGGATACCTATAAAGAAGACCCTCCCCCAATGGAGTTTCAAGGTTCCAGGGGCTGTAGGCGGGAAGTGATGTTATAGCTAGTGCGCCATGATGTACAGCACGCCAGGAAGTGGGAAATGTAATTCATAGACCTGGAACTGTGACACAGTGTAGGACAATCCAGGCAGTCCCGCCTCCAAAGTGGGGGAAATGCTTATTGAGGAAGTGACATCGTAGCCCTGGAGCTGTGCTGTAGGGTAAGACATTCCAGGGAATCCTTCTCAAAGGTGGATGGTGAACACAAATTCAGGAAGTGACATCATAAGCCCAGAATTATGTCCTCTACCTTGCATTCCAGGAAGTCCTGCCTCCAAGGAGGGAGGCATGCTAGTTCAGGAAGTGACATCATAGCTCCAGAAGTGTGCAGTACAAGGAAGTGCTGCCTCTGGGGAGGAGGGGGAAACGTTATTTCGGGAAGTGACATCATGCCTCTGGAGCTGTGTTATAGGTCCTGCCTCCAGGGGGGAGGGACACATGTAAATTCAGGAAGTGATGTGATAGCCTAACAACTGTACCATGGAATTTTGGCACTGCAGGAAATCCCACCTCCAAGGAAGCAGGAATGATAATTCAGGAAGTGACTTCATAACTCTGGAGCTGGAGGTCCTGCCTCCAGGACTGGAGTCGCAGTTGTGGGAATCAAAGGCATGATTTGGGACAGATCCCGGTTCATGAGAAGCAGGAAGGAGTGGGGAGCCAGGGTCAGGCTAACCCCACTGTACCCATGTCCCCCCATCTGTGCTTTCCCCTCAGGCACTGAATGCCAGACTCACTGCAACCCCTCCCACGGCCGCATCCACATGAACCTGCGAAAATACTGCAAGAAGGATTACGGTAACATTGACCTGACATCATTATCATCTATCTATCTAGCCATCTCCATACACTCCCTCTATCTATTCATCTATCTACCGCAGCCACCTATCTGTCTCTCTCTCTGTCTCTCTCTCCCCATACATGTCCATCCTGAAGCTGGGAAATTTTATATTATTAGTAGAAAGAAAGAAAGAAAGAAAGAAAGAAAGAAAGAAAGAAAGAAAGAAAGAAAGAAAGAAGTGCTATGGGGATAGATAGCTAGATAGATGTCTACGGAGAAGGATGAATATGATTTATTCCCAAGCAATGCTCTGTTCGGGATCTGGTCCATGCTCACCGCCCTCACTGTAGCAATTGGCCCGCATGAAATTCTCCCGCACTGCGGGGTTGACCCTGAGCCGGAGGCCGGAGCTCAAGGCACAAAGGGCATTAGGAGTCTACGTGGTTTTTCTCCCAGGGATTAGGAGGGGATTATCAGGATGGACCGCCCACTGCCCCTGGCCCCAGCTCCTGTGAGCAGCTAAAGGGCGACGCACACTCTGCACAAAGGACAGTGAGAGACCAGCCTGCCCCACTCTCTGCTTCCACCCCCAACCTGTGTGTCCACCCCCCCACAACCATCTCTGTGTCCGTTCCCCTTCCTCCACCACCCTTCCTCGCTGGCTGTCTCAGTATGATTCCCTGAGTGCCAGAGCCAAATTATCATTCCCTGAGTGCCAGAGCCAAAATACCTGGGCGAGTCCGGGCGGCCAAGTCCCTGGGCATGATCAGGCACCATTCCTGGGAGAGTGGGGCTTTCTCTGGGGTGGTTACAATTTCTGGGCATGGCAGGGTCTGATTGCTGTCCCTGGGTAGGAGCTGGGGCCACTTGTGGGTTTTATGGCATATATCACTGGGTATTAATCAGCATCAGTTGGTATCTGTGGACATCACTGGGTGTTACTGGGTATCAATAGATATCACCGGCTAGCACTGCATATTGTTTGGGTATCAATGAGTATTGTTGGGTATCACTGGTTATCATGGTTTGTTGGGTTTCAATGGGTATCGATGGATATCACTGGGTATTGTTGGTTTCAGTGAGTATTGCTGGATATCACTGGGTATTGTTGGGGTTCAATGGGTATTGTCGGGTATCACGGGATATCACTGGGTATTCTTGGTTTTAGTGCGTATTGCTGGATATCACGGGATATCACTGGGTATTGTTGGGGTTCAGTATGTATTGCTGGGTATCACTGGATATTGCTGAGTATTGTTGGTGTTCAATGGCTATTGTAGGGTATCACTGGATATTGGGGTTCAATGGCTATTATTGGGTATCACTCGGTATTGTTGTTTTCAGTGGATATTGCTAGTTATCACTGGATACAGTTGGGTTTCAGTGGGTATTGCTGGCAGAGTTGGATATTGGTGGGTATCACTGGACATTGGTAGGCACTCTTTGGTATCACTAGGCATCTTCAGTATCGGTGGGCATTGCTGGGCACTGCTCGATATTGGTGAGCATTGGGCATGATAGGCAGTATTGGTGGGTAAGTTTCACTGGGTACTGAAGTGCACTTCAGTTCATCGATGAGTAACGTTGGGTATTGGTGAGTATCGTTGGTTGTTGGTAGACACTGTTGGCCACCATTTGGGGTCACTGAGTTTTGATGGGTATCACTAAGTATTGGTGGGCATCAGTGAGTATTGATGGGCATTGGCATTATTTGGTAATGTTGGATGTTGATAAGTATCATTGGATATGGGTGAGTGTTGGTATCATTTGGGAACGTTTGACATCAATGAATAATGTTGCATATTGGGTCTCATTGGATATTGGTGGGCACTGTTGGGCATCACTGGGTATCGGTGGATATTGGTATCAGCATCATTGCCTAATGTTGGGTAACACTGAGTACTGTAGGATATTGGTATCATTGTCTATGGTTGAGTATCATTGCGCATCTTTAGGTATTGTAGGGTATTAGTATCCTTGTCTATTGTTGAATATCATTGGGTATTGTTGGGTATTGATATCATTATCTACTGTTCAGTATCATTGGGTATTCTTGAGTACTGGTATGGTCTAATGCTGAGTATCACTGATTATGGTTGGGTGTTGGTATCATTGGCTAATGGTGAATATTGCTGAGTATCGTTGAGTATTATTGGGAATTGGTATCAGTGGCTGAGTATTGTTGAATAACATTGAGTATTGCTGGGTGTTGGTATCATTGGCTAATGTCGATTATCATTGAGTATCCATGGGGAAAGGTGAGGTTTCGTATCACTGGATAATGTTGAGTATTACTGTGTATTGTTGGGTATTGCGATCTATGGCTAATGTCAATTATCATTGAGTATCGTTGCATAATGGTGAGGTTTGCTATCATTGGCTAATGTTGAGTATCATTACATGTTGTTGGGTATTGCTATAACTGACTAATGTTGAGCATCGTTGAGTATCATTGGGTATTGTTGTGTATTGTTATCATCTTCTAATGGGTATTGTTGAATATCAGTGGGGATTGGTATCACTGGCTAACACTGAGCATCGTTGTATATCATTGGCTGATGAGCATTACTGGCTATCGTTGGGGACTAGCATCACTGGCTAATGTTGGGGATTGGGGAGTATCCTGCCCTTCCTGACCTCTGACCTCCTCCTGCAGTGCTGCATGCCCAGCTGCTGGCCATGGTGGAGTCGGGCGAGTGGTGGCAATTCACGACCTCGGTGCTGGCAGTCTATCGGCAGCGCCAGGTGCCCATCCGCCGGGGTGAGCAACCGCTCTGGGTGCCCCGGCAGGACCTGGCCTGCGGCTGCCTGCGCCTCCAAATTGGCAAGGCCTACCTGGTGATCGGGAACGACGCAGAGTCGCCCGACCCGGCGCGCCTGGTGCTGGACAGGAACAGCCTGGCGCTGCCCTGGCGCGATGTCTGGGCCCACAAGCTCCGTCGCTTCCAGCAGCAGAACCGGCGGGGCAACTGCCGGAGCCCCTGAAACCCAAGGAGGTGGGATGGAAATGCCAGGGACACTAAGGCCAGGGGAGGGGGTGCGCCAGGCACCCCAAGACCCGGGGCAGGATCTGTAACGCCTGGCGCCGCTCCTCCAGGGGCTGAGATCCCCCATTGGCCCCTGAAACTGGGCCCAATCCCCTCCTCAATCCCCTGGATTCCCCCATATTGAGACCCTACCCCCCCTATGCAGGGCCCAATCCTACCTCCCCTCATCCAGCCCTGAGGGAGGGCCCGTCCCCACCCAGCTTCCCACTCCCCCCTCACTCCACATTTTTGCAATCAGGTTGGGGGGGGACAGAGGAAAGACCAAAGATGACCTTTGACCCCTGACCTATGGCCTGCTCTGCTCTTGCACTTGTAAAAAAGATAAATGGAATAAAATGAGAAATTATTTTACTCTCAGGAGAGTCTGTTTATTGGGAGGGGAGTGGGGTCCTGGTTAAAGTATGCGGGGGGGAAGGGAATGGTGGCTAGGGCCTCTCCCCTCTAGGGGGCGCCGGCTCCAATCCAGCCCCCGGACCAGGACTGGCTGGCTCAGGGGGCAGGGAATGGGGCGCGGGGCCTTTGATGTGCTGGTTCCCAGCTGCCCTTGTCAGCACTGGGAGGGTGTAGGGGGGGAACACACGTCCTGCTTGAACCCAGCCTTGTTGCCATTGACCGGAACCAATTGTTGGGCGCGGGCGTGAAATCGGCATCTGTGCCAGAGGGTCCTGTTACTGCGGGGGGGGGGGGGAGGGGCTGTGCATATCCACCCCCCACCCCCTGCCACTTCACACCTTCCTGCCCATTCACTCTGCCTGCCAGCCCTGCTCAGCCTCTGACTCTGTGGGGCCCTGCCCCGTGTCCAATTCCCCAGCCCCCTCTCCCCAGAGCCCTGAGCACCCTGGCTCCAGAGGGACCCCCAGGACCCAAAACCCCCACGCCCCCAATCTGAACACCAGAGTTGGACACTCACAGCCCCATCTGGCCAGCTGGCTGGGACTGTCTGACCCACTGGGTCTGGTGCAAACACCCACCTCCAACCCCTCTACCTGTCTGTCCCTCCATCTCCCTCACCCCTGTCTCTCCATCCATCCCCCCACACCTCCCATCTACCCATCCCTCCATCCCCCTCACCCTGTCTATCCATCCACCCCCCCACAACCTCCATCTATCCATCCCCCTCACACATCCATCCTGCCATCCACCCCAACTATATCTATCCCCATCCACCCCATCTATCTATCTATCTATCTATCTATCTATCTATCGATCTATCCCCATACAGCCTCTCTCTCTCTATCTTCCCATATATACTGCTCTATCTTTATCCATGCGATTGGCGGTGGGGTACCAGGGTAGATGGGCCCCAGGGGCTGATCCTGGGGTAGGGGCACTAGGATACCATGGTCGGTGGACCCGGGGCATGATCCGGGGGGCAGGCAGGAGGCGGGATACTGGGGTAGATGGGCCTGGGGCAGGGCCGGACTGCCGCCCCTGGAATTGTGCCACCCCTGGATGTACATGCTTCCTTTGCTGGTGCCTAGAGCCGGAGCTGGCCGGGGGGGGCTGAAACAGGGGGAGGCAGGAGGCAGGATACTGGGGTAGATGGGCCCCAGGGGGCTGATCCAGGGGACAGGCAGGGGGTGGGATACCAGTGTAGATGGGCCCCAGGGGCTAATCCAGAGGCAGGGAGGTAGGAAGGACGTTGGGTTAGTCACCCCCAGCCCCAGCTAATCCCCCCCAACCCCTTACAGCGCTGGGAGGGGGAGGGGTGCGGGCAGCTGCTGGGGGCTTAGGCAGGTGGGGAGGGGGGCAGGGCTCTGACCCCAGATGGGGGAGGCAGGAATCGGGGAGGGGGGCTGAGTGGGATGCTCTGTGGGTAGCTGGGGGGCACCATGGGGCTGGGGAAGGGGTGCCCCTGGTGAAGCCTGGCACAAACCCTCTGTATGGGGCACAGCGCCCCCAAGGGGCCTCAGAGGCAGCCCGCCCCCCTCCACCCCATTGCCAGGCACAGCCTGCCCCCACCCCTTCCATTTCTGGAGCCGCTTCTCCCCCTGGTGGCCATTCCCCGCACAGCAGCCGCAGGCTCCGGCGCTGGGTTATTTGCTAGTGACAGGCCGCGACTCTGCAGGCGATACGGGGTTAATCCAGGGGAGGGGAGTTGGGCCTGGTTCCACAGAAAGGGAAACTGAGGCACCGACGCTGATGAACCAAATGGCTGGAGCATGACAGAGGCCAGTAAGGACTCCTGGGTTCTCTCCCCAGCTCTGGGAGGGGAGTGGGGTCCAGTGGTTAGGGCGGGGGGGTGGTGGCTGAGAGCCAGGACTCCTGGGTTCTCTCCCCAATTTGGGGAGGTGAGTGGGGATCAGGGGACTGGACTGGAACTGGTGCCCCTCACTGCCAACCTGCAGCCCCCTGCTAGCTCAGCTCGGGGTCTGTGCCCCAGCCCCTTAACCTTTGGGTGGTGTCTTTCCAGGGCATCTGTGTTGTCCCTGACCCACGGCCCCGCCCCGCCCCCTCCCTCCATGTGGGAACCTACCTGCCAGCCACTGGTACAAGGGGTGTGAACCTGGCCGGGACCACAAGGAAAGTCCAAAGCAGACTGAGGCGTTACAAAGGGATCCCACAACACTGGGCGACTGGGCCACAAAATGGCAGATGAAATGCAATGCTGAGAAATGCAAAGCAATGCCCATTGGGAAAACATAATCCCGACTATTCATACAGAATTAGCTGGTACCCCGAGAGAGAGAGATCTTGGCGTCATTGTGGAGAGTTCTCTGAAAACATTCACTCAATGTGCAGCGGCCGTCAAAGAAGCAAACAGAATGTTGGGACTCATTAGGAAAGGGATGGATAATAAGACAGAAAATATCCTAATGCCACTACATAAATCCATGGTGCACCCACATCTTGAATACTGCGTCCAGATCTGGTCACCCCAGCTCCCAAAAGATACAGTGGAATTGGAAAAGCTGCAGAGAAGGGCAACAAAAATGATCAGGGGGCTGGAACAGCTGCTGTACAAGGAGAGATTAATAAAACTGGGACTTTTCAGCTTGGAAAATAGACGACCAAGAGGGGATACAATGGAGGTCTAATAAATCCTGACTGGTGTGGAGGAACATGAGAACTAGTAGTCACTCAATGAAATTACTAGGCAGCAGGTTTAAAACAAACAGAAGGAAGTATTTCTTCACCCAACGCCCCATCAATCTGTGGAACTCCTTGCCAGGAGATGTTGTAAGGCAAAAAGTATAACAGGGGTCCAAAAAGAACGAGATAAGTTCCTGGAGGACAGGTCCATCAATGGCTCCTAGCCAAGCTGGTCAGGGATGCAACCCCATGCTCTGGGTGTCCCTAAGCCTCTGACTGCCAGGAGCTGGGACTGGATGACAGTGGATGGATCACTCGTTAATTGCCCTGTTCTGTTCATTCCCTCTGAAGCCCCTGGCCCCAGCCACTGTCAGACGACAGGACACTGGGCTAGATGGACCATTGGTGTGACCCAGTGCGGCCATTCTGTACATTCAAGTCATTGCTCACTATGAGGCAGGAGGGGGACAGGCCAAGGGGCTGGGTGTGTGGATCCCCCCTCTACCCCACAGTGCAGCCCCAGAACCCTTCGGCCGAGAGTAGACCCCAGGGCTGGGCAGTGCCCTCTATAGAGGGGATTCTGCATGAAGGCTGCCCCGGCCTGCAGCACCCGACGTCCCCACTGACAAGGGTGTGCAGAGCCAGGGTGCGTGGGGCCATTCAAACCCCGCTAGCTCACACAAGAACAGCACCGAGCATCTGCCAATGTTCCTTCCAGCCCCTCCATGTGCCCCTGCTGGGCTCGTCCACACCCGACGCAGGGGCTGCTCCCATCCACCTCCCCAAGGGCAGGGATAATTCCCGTTGGCTGAGTGCTGGCTATACGGGCACTGAGGTTTGCTTAACCGTGCCGCTCGGGGCTGGACTTTTCCCACCCCGAGCGAGGTAATTTTCTAGCGTAGCCCCAGGCAAATCCCCTGCTTGGAAGGATTTCATTTTTATTGGGAAAGGTGGTTTCCCTGCACGCCTCTGAGCCCAGGGAGGAAGATTTCCCTGGATAATAATCGACACCTGCTCAAGAAGCTGTTAGGGGCTGATTTATGGCTATTTCCCTAGGGCGGGGCGGGGGGGGGGGGGGGGTTTGACCTGCTGACAATTTGTGTTTTAACTTAGCTGTTGGAGAGAGACCTTGGAGTCATTGGCCACACCTTGAATACTGGGTGGAGGTGTGGTCCCCCCCATCTCGAAAAAGATACATTGGAATTGGAAAAGGTTCCGAAAAGGGCAACAAAAATTATTAGGGGTCTGGAACAGCTTCTGTATGAGGAGAGATTAATAAAATGGGGGCTTTTCAACTTGGAAAAGAGACGACTAAAGTGGGATACAATAGATGGCTATAAAATCATGACTGATGTGGAGAAAATAGATAGATAGATAGATAGATAGATAGATAGATAGATAGATAGAGTATCTGGGGATGGATAGATGGATATTTAAAAGAACTTCCCATACTCCTATGCAGGCTTGGAAGGTTTGAGTTTTTATGGGTCAATGTCAATAAACGTCAATTTCACACGGACACAGGGAAAATTATTTCCATTGATATAAAACCATGACTGGTGCGGAGAAAGTAAATCGGGAAGTGTTGTTTACTCCTTTTCATAATACAAGAACTAGGGGTCACCCAATGAAATGAATAGGCAGCAGGTTTAAACCAAACAAAAGGAAGTATTTCTTCACCCAACGCACAGTCAACCTGGGGAACTCCTTGCCAGAGGATGTTGTGAAGGCCAAGACTATAACAGGGTTCAAAAAAGAACTTGATAAATCCATGGGGGATAGGTCCATCAATGGCTGTTAGCCAGGACGGGCAGGGATGGTGTCCCGAGCCTCTGTTTGCTGGGAGGACGACAGGGGATGGATCACTCGCTGATTCCCTGGTCTGTCCATTCCCGCTGGGGCACCTGGCACTGGCCACTGTTGGCAGACAGGACACTGGGCGAGATGGACATTTGGTCCGACCCAGTCTGGCCATTCTTATGTTCTTAACCTCCTGCATCTCCCCATCTGCTGTCCTCTCATAATTATCATCTGACCCCCCCCCCCCCCATTCTGCACATCTCTCAATATTTCAGTGGATAAAAATAGAGAAAAATGCTTAACCCGGGTCATGTTGTGCCCTTCTGGACCTTTCCCTCAACACACCTCTCTTCCCGGGCCTGGAGCCCCTGAGCTGGCCCCTCTCCAGAGGGGGCCGGGGACAGGCCCCAAATCAACCCAGCTGCGCCCTGGGGGGGTCTGGGGCAGGAAGCCAGGCGCTGCTGGCGCCCAGGGGCCTGGAAAGGCCCGGCTGGCCACTGCGCGGGCTCCCGGCGGGAGGCACC